TGACTTTGAGGGAAAGTATTGCAATACGTCAAATCAACCATGTAGCTAGGATGTACCGCACCTACGGGTTTAGTTTTTGCATGTCGCCCCAACTCGAACCTTTATCCCGCACCCACAAACTCACACAGGACACTTATTATTGACTCAGCTAATCGCGAAATGGTTTTTCATTTGAACTTCCTAATGCTGCTCCTTCCCTTTGAAAAGTAGCTCCACAGATATGATCCTAACTCACCATTTTCAGTATCAGGTGTGGGCTCCACGGTAGGCTGGCATATCGTCGTCCGATACGGGCTGCCTGAGCGTGTAATAGTGGTAGAAGAAGCCAAAAGAAAGCAACTGGAATCCATACTAGTATGGTGTGTTGAAAGCAAACGGACACATTCGGAAGACCACTCGGAAATGGATTGTGCTGAAAGAAAGGTTAGAATCTTGAAAGCGCCTCTGGAAAGAAAGAAAGTTCAAAATTGGTTAGGGTAGGCAAAGCGATTCCAAGCCACGCCTATTTTCTTGCTGATCTACATCCTCTCACTGAGATAGTTTCGACGAATTTGACTGGCCCCTGAGTCAGGAACCAAGTAGCAAGAAAGTGGAGGTGGCCTGCTCTCATTCACAGCCCTTGCCCTTCAAACAACTCACCCACAGATCATCACCACAGAATTGATGCCAACTCATCCCACCCTTTCCCGGTATTGGTGAGCCTGAATAGAGAATGAGACTTTGGGCCGTAAAAGTCCGGAAAACAGAGATTCTTCGAAAATGTAAAAGCACCCTAAAAGGAATGAAAGTAAAAGGTGAACGAGCATAGATGATAAGTGAATGATCACAATGAAACCTACAAGCGATCTCTATTCGGAAACAGCCACGCATTATGCTTCAATCTATAATTGAAATAGTATCTCTTATAGGGTTTGAGCTATGCAAAGACTTACGCGGACTAGCCAGTCCAATTCATTTTTTCCAACCTCTCAAAAGGACCTGATATTAACCGGCCAAACGCGTAAGCTCAGCTGCCTAGGGTTCTGTCCTATAGCCTGATTTGTTAAAGAGTTCCGACAATTCCTTGTAGGTCATTCCTTTCGTCTAGTTACTTCTGGATAATGACCGCTTATCGAGTGGACCCTACGGGACGTCAGGCGAACGCCACTGCGACTGCCGGCCCATGTTAATACTTTGAGATTATTGTAGATGAGCGAGCCACTGGTAAGAAAGCCGAAGTCATGCTTAGCCTGGATAGACCGCATGAGACAGAAGTTCACGCAGCGTACTGATGCCCTGCCTTCCCAACACTCAGCCTTGGAAGAGCGAAGATGACCAGAATTCCCGCAAAATGGCCTCTCAACCACAGCAGGTCCCAGACTTCTAGGTATAGTTCGGAACATTGCGGATGGGTTCGCTGCAATTAATAGCTATTAACTACTTGACACGACACAGTACTTGTTAGACGTAAAACGATCATTTGTAGAATACTACGTCCTCTACGGTTCACTCTACAGCCTTATATTGGACGGGAGCTCTCACGGCCTCATCTATTCAACGCTAGAGGGCTAAATAAAACTTAATAATGCCTAATGCCTAATTTAATAATGCCTTTAATATTTTATAACGCCGCTTTACACGCGGTGCTACGCATTGGATGTGATGAACTACACCCCAGACTAGTTTATGAAGGCTCTGCCTTAGAGGAGGGAAGGAGATCGCTCCGAGGAGAGTCGACTAGATCACTTCTACTTGCAAAGGGGATAAATGGTTGAAGAAGGTGTATGTCAAGTAGCTTATTCACCGCGCGCGCGGACAAAGGCACGTATGGTTTCCCACACAAGGGAAAAGCTCTACCTCCTGAGGACGGTGAACTAGTATCAGATTCAGAGTATGAAACCTCTGAATTCTATAACGATTGACTTACAGTCATTTTATAGGCCACATGCCGTAGCAGGGCGGAAGCTTTATTCATACCTTTTAGGGCAAGACGGAGTCATTTGTAACCTCTCAAGGATTTCTGTAACCAGCGGTTTTGGAGGGGAAGTTTCTACAGCAAAGTTGCTGTTGTACTATTTGCATTCCCACATCTCTGGCTCTGCTCCCTCATAATGATGACCCCTCAATACGTGCTTCTTATTGCTTTCACTCAATCTTCAACACGAGCACACACTCTTATCAATCTCTCTATCGAAGTATATGTGTGTGTGGTTTCTAACAGCAGAGGAACGAATTACGTTAAAAAATCAAGTAAATCGATAAATGTTCTCTGAGGAAGCAGAGAAAAGTCGTGGCTTGATGAGCTTTACAAAATGAACGAGCTGGTGAGAAATGAAATCCAGGCGACGCCCAAAGAAAAATGACCTTGAGCCCGTACATCGAACCTCATTCGAAAAATTTCTCTATGTCTACCGATGCTCTATAACATTCAAATTTGTTGTCAAATTAAAGAGTTTTCTGAAAAGTTCAATTTTAGGGGTCGTTCCTCAGCGTTTCATTGGCTATGGCTGTTGTTCGATGTTCCCCGTCAATCCTATCAATCACTATCAATCACCCACCACATTCCCCTTCCCTCCCAACCTTTTACCCTGGATTTGCCATTTCGAGACGTCACATATCGACATGGGAGACCAAAAAGGCTTGTCGAATCTCTACGAGAAAGAGGTAGCGAAGATCGAGGCAAAGGTCTTTTGCTGCACTATAGAGCCC